AAAGTGCATCATCTGACTTTAACCAAAAGGAAACACCACACAAATCCCAAATTAAGAACATTCTACGAAATAATTGGCAGTACTCAACATCACTGTCACAGTCAAGGAAAAATAAGACAGGAATTGATCCCTACTGAAAGAAACTACAGAGAAACGACATCTAAAAGCACGGAGGGATATTGGCCTGGATCCCGGCACAAGGAAAAAACGTTAGTGATAAATGGATGAAATTTGACTGAGGTCTGTACTTCCTGTCCATTTCCTGGGCTTGATCACTGCCCTGCTCACACACCGTAAGATGTGAATACTGGGAAGCTGGGTGAAAGCTACATGGGATGCCTTGGTACTATTTTGGCAACTTCTTGGTAAATATGAATTTAATTTGAAAGTTAAATAATTTTAAATATTAGAGAGTAAAGTGAGTGTTTCCGTACCATATTTGACTGCTACGGACTACCGGAGGGAAGCTGGAGCACCCAGCTTGAGTCAGGGGCCCCTCTCAGCGTCTGTGTCAGCCGCAGGGGATACCCTGCTGTCAGGAACTCAGCACTGGACTGAGGGAAAACCCAGAACAGTGCTGAGCGGGGGAGGCAACCAGGATGACCCCAGCTGACTCAGCTCCCTGAAGGAACTGCAGCTGGTTCATCTCTGGGTCCTGGGCCTCAGTGTGGGGCCGGGCACGAGGCAGACTGCTTCATGTGCCTGCTCCCTGCCCACGATGGGGAAACGAGCACTGAATTACGGCTGTGGAGGCCCTTCTGCCTGGAGCCCAGCTGTGGAGACTGTTCTCCGTCTTGGCTGTGGGTAGGGAGGTTCACAGATTTCAGAGCTCAGCCTGGGCTCAGGGGGACCTTGGGCCCGTCTCCTGGTAAGCCAAGGAGGAAGCAGGCAGCAAAGATGCCGATCCGCAATTTAAGGTAAATATTTTGGATCCCTCCATTTCCCACTTCCAACCCTTGTATTAAAAAAACTCCAAACTCCTCGCTGTGGCTTACAAGGCCTTGCCCCCCCCCCCCCCGCCCTGCCCCTGCCCCCGCCCCCGCCCCCGGCCTGACCTCATCTCACTCTGCCCTGTCCACACTGAGCTCCTCCAGCTCACCGGCCTGGTTCCTGCCTCAGGACCTTTGCATTCAATGTTCTGTCTAGAATGCTGCTCCCGCTGATCTAAAAGGTCACCCCCTCAGTGGGGACTTCCATGACCAGCTAATCTAAAGTATACCCTTTGTGTCCTAACTGATGTGGCTCAGTTGGTTGGAGTCTCATCCCACAAACCAAAAAGTTCATGGGTACAATTCCTGGTCAGGGCACATGACTGGGTTGCGGGTCAGGTCCCTGGCTGGAGGCATGCAAGAGGAACTGAAAGTTGTTTCTCTCTCCTATCAATGTTTCTCTCCCTCTTTCTCTCCCCCTTCCCCTCTAAAAAATAAATAATTAATATTAAAAAAATAAAGTATCCCCTTTCTGTTACTCTGTCACAATACACTGTTTCATTTACTTTGTAACACTAGTCACTATCTCAAGTTATTTTGCTTCCCGGCCTATTGTCAGTCTCCCCACAGAAGAATGCAAAGCTGCGGGAAGGCAGGGTCTGTCTTGTTCATCCTGGACCCTGACATGTAAAGCAGTGCCTGATGCATAGTAGGTTTGGTGGCTATATTGCTATGTAACAAATATCCTCCAAATTTAGTGGCTCATAACAGCAACCATCACTTAACTTTCCTTTTATGGTTTCTGTAGGTGAGGGACGGCAAGGGCTAGGATGGCAGTTCTCCGTCAGAGGGTTTGTGATCTGTTTCAGCTTCCCTACAGCACGGCAGCCCCAGGGCAGCTGGGCTGCTTCCATGATGGCTACAGGCTTTAAGAGCAAGTGTTCCAGCGAAGCAGGCAGGCTGCATCCTCTGCCTGTTATGACCTAGCCTTATAAGTTACATAGTGTCATTTCTCGTATATTGATGGACCAGTAACAAGCCCACCCATTAAAGGGAAGGGAACTGAGGCCCCATCTCTTGACAAGAAGAGGGTCAAAGAGTGTGGGGCCATATTTTAAACCACAGTAGGTGATGAATATTTAATAAATAAATATTGACTAAGTTAATTTGTTAAAGGTGACCAGATAAACAAAGGAAAGCCTTAAGGGCACGGTGTTGGCAGCCAGTGAAAGTAACGAAAATTGTGAAACCAGTGGAAATTCAGTTGGCCTGTCAGGCTGATGGGTTTAGCATCTTTCAATGGGCCTTGAAAATCCACAGCTGCATTGTATTTACCAAGTGATGACATGTTTCTGGGAGTTTCCCAAAGTGCGGGATGAATGTGGTATATGAAATGACTTTAAGAGACATGTAGACATGGCATTAAATGACACCAAATCACATGGATTATAGTTGTCCCATTTTCAATTATCTTTCACGCCTTCTCATCATGTCAGAGAGAAAGTTCAGCTGAGTGATAATATGCCTTTAATCCACCCTTAATACTTTGCTAATCTCCCTTTATGCCAAAGAAAAAGCAGGCTTGGGGCTCGGTACCTTGGCAGGCAATGGTCGCCACCCAGGATTTTAAGGCCTTATTTTGTTTTCCTGTTTATTTCTACAATTACCTCCTATTCATGGCTTGTAGTTTTCTATTTTAAATGGTGACACAGAGTATCTATCTAATGTGACTTGAAACAAATAAAAAGGCAGAGAAAGAAAAGTATTTATTCATTAAAGGTCAGAGGGTTCAGAGATACCGCAAAGGCCAAGAAGGGGTTACATGTAATGAAATGTAATGACTATAATGAAACCAACAAGCTAGCAATGAGAAAACCTAAGTCCACACACTGCTGCAGACCTGGTACACGGCCTTGATGGCCCTCCTCGGGCTCGGTGGCAAAATCTAAGGTAGCAGAACCCAAGTGTCTACTAAATAAAGTTGGAAAAACAGTATTAAAAGTACCCTCCCCCTCCATTAATACATAAAAGTTCCATTTAGAAGTTTCTGAACAGTGAGTCTCAAGATCTAATATGCATAGGAAGCCCCTGGGTAGCTTGTTAAAAATGCAGATTCTTATTCAGGGTTCTGTATTTCTAACAAGCTTCCAGGTGATGTGGATGCTGCTGGTTTGGGGACCACTGAGAAGGTAGCAAGCTCTAGAAAAAAATCGAGTATACTACTATGCATTTCTTCCCAACGTTAGGGTTAGCGACATTCACACCACTAGCCTGAAAGCAGCAAGTATTTATACCAAGAAAACCAGCACTACAAACAAGGGTTCAATTGTTTTATTGTCTTCAATATTTAATAGGAAAATTTATAATAAATTATATGTACATAGACATACACACACAGAAACACACACATCGTACCTACTAACATTCTCCCCCAGAGAAGCAGTTGTTAAACATTTACCGCACCCAGCCGGCTGAACAGATACATATAGGACGTAGATACACATGTCCTAAATTAGAGGTTGACTGATTTCTATAAAGACCTAAATAGCAAATGTTTTAAGTTTTATTAGCCAGACAGTATCTGTTAAAAGGACTCGGCTCTGTGTTGCAGCTGGAAAGCAGCCATTGACAAAATGTAAATGAGTAAGTGTGGCTGTTTTCAAATACTACTACATTTATGGACACTGTAATTTAAATTTCATACAATTGTCACATGCCCTAAGATACTCTTCTTTTGATTTTTTTTCCCATCTGTTAAAAATGTGAAATGATTCTTAGCTCACAAGGCAGGTGTGGCCCATGAGCTAGAGAACCTTCTGGTTTAGCTTACTCTGGAGAAGAGGTGAACGTGGGACTCGAACCTAGATGAGACATAGGACACAACGTCCCAAGAAGAGGGATCAACAAAGGCCGAGGTCCTGAGGCTGGAAGGAGTCTGACGCGCTGGGGGATGGAAAGGCCCCTGTGGCTGAACTGCGTGAGCCGGGGGGCTGTGGAAACCTGAAGAAGAGGCTGAAAATCGATTCCACGTTCAGCAGAAAGCCCTTTGGAAGCATTAAGGAAAGACGTGCCCTTGATGCAGTTTCTATTTTGAAAAGCTTCCTCCGTGCTCTGGAAGAATGAAAGGAAGGAGCGGAGAAAGAAGGGGCTCTCTAGTCTTCTGGAAGGCACAGGCATGGTCTCGCTTGGGTGGTGACAGCCGAGCTGGACTGGGCTCGCACGGTGAGGCGGAGCCCACGGGGGGTTCCGAGAGACTCACAGCGGGCGAGTAGACAAGTACCGGGTGTCCAACGTTCTCACGAGCGCCCGTGGGGCCGATCAGTGCAGGGCACGGCTCGGCGTGGGGCTTCGGCCTGCAGCCATCCTGGAGCTCCTGTTCTGTTGGCTCAGAGAGGTCAAGTCCCTGGCGCTGGGTTCCCCGCCCCCCCCGCCCCCCCCCCCGCTAACACCTGTGTCCCTCCCTCACTGACATCCCCTCTTTGGACAGTGATGTTGAACCTACTCTGACCTCTGCTTCCCCCCAACCACTCCGCCACCTTGACATGTGGCCTTAAGAAAACGCATGTCCACTGTACTTGACCCTTCGAAAGGGAAACTGAAGGTTGAGGTGACAGGGAGCCCCAAACCCCCCAGCAGGCCTCCCTCTCCACTGACCTGCGCGTGTGGATAGACCCCTTCCCCGCCCCCGCCCGCAGACCCAGAGGTTTACCCACAGAAAGGCTGCCATAGCGGTGCCGTGGATGGGCTCACTCTCCCCGCGCTGGGATCCCGCGGAGAGCACGGGCATCAAGTCCCAGCGCCTGCCACGGCCGCCTCACCGACGTCTGTTCCATCTAGCCGGCGACGCTCGTCGGGCACTGCGCAAGCGCCCGGCCCCGTCCAAGTCCTCCTGATCGGCGGGAAAAGGCGGTGGGGGCGGTTAATGCGCAGGCGCGCGCTCAGAGCTTGGCTAGGACCTGACAGGTACACGGAGCTCTACTCCGCGCCGGACTCGCCGCGCAGGCGCGTCCTGTCTGCCACGCTCAGTGTCGGCTTGGAAAGTGCGCACGCGCGGGAGTTTCTGGCAGAAAGCAGGCGAGCCGCGGCCGGCGCGGGGCCTTGTGGGAGGGCTTGAGGAAGTAAAATGGCGGACCTGGCGAACGAAGGTAGGGGAGGCGCCGTCGGGGGCCAGCTGGCTGCCAGGGAACGGGCGGGGGAAGGATCAGGCGTCACAGGCCCGAGAGGTCAGCACCTCGGAGTGTGGGGGGCCCTTTTGCTCCGGGATAGTGTCACAGTGAGTCCCGCAGCCGCCCCCTATTGCGTCCCCTCCGGCCGGGCTCACTGGCCCGGCCCATCACTCCCAGCAGCCCCGACCCTGCCGCCGACCGGCTAGAGAACCCGGGAGGCCGCTGGAGCCGCCGCCCAGACTCCTTTCCGCCTGCCGACCAGGCCGAGGGCTGAAGGGCGTGGGAGGCGCGGCCTCATCTCCTCGGCCTCGGTTGTAAATAGACGTCCCGGCCTGGTGGTGGGCCCAGCACACCCCACCCTCCCCGTCTCCTCGTTCTCGGGGACCCGGCCTTTTCCCCCGAACCTTGATCTGGCTGCCCAGCCGACCAACCTACTGGTCCTGTGGAGTTCTCATCCACCGCGGGCCTGCCCCATTACGAGGACGGCATACGCCCGATCTGTTCTCAACACCCCCGCACCCGCCCCAAACTCGGCCCCCCGTTCCCGCCAGTTCCCCCAAATCCTTAGGGGCGACCTGAGAGTCGCGCCTCGTCTAGCCACATTTAGGCCTGGCAACAGGATGTGGGCCGCTGAAAGTCCTGGCTTCTCTTTGGCCCTTTTTTTTGCTGCATTTACAGAAGGAGACAGAGACTGTGATCCCCCTCCTCTGTGGAGAGCTGACATCCCACCCGAGCGTTTTTGACAAGGTTACAGTTTCGAATACCCAGAGAAAACAATCCATAAGCCGAAGTGTTGATATCGTTGTAGCCTGAGGACTTCCGAGGCCTATTTTTAGCTCCCTCCTTTTTAGGTGCACAACTACAGGCAGGCTGTCTCCCTGTCTGCCCCCGATTCCCAATAACGTGCTCCCTGCTGTCTGAGGGTGTCCTGAGGTTCCCGTACTGAACTGCATGAATGCATGAATGATAATAAGTGCTCACCCTGGTGGAGCATTTGGGATGGTACCAGGTAATGTTCAAAGTCTTGAACACCATGTGTTATCAGGCAATACAAAAGCTCCATGAGGTAGATTCTGTAGCCCCATGCTCTTTGTGAGAAAACTGAGAGTGGTTAAATGATTTGTCCAAAGCAGGTTACACAGCTGGTAAGGAGCAGGGATGTGAATCAATGAAGTCTGGCCTCAGGACTCCTTGCGACCTCGGCCATTCTGTGCCACATCTCCTCTGTAAGATAAGGGATCCCAGTGAGAGTTGATCTTTCCACTCATAAGATCCACTTAAAGGCAGAAGAGGGATTGGACAAGTGGGAATCAATATGACATGCTTTATATACTTACACCTTCAGCCCATTCAGTTTCCTGATCTTAAGACTCATGTTCAGCATCTCCATTTGGATGTCTAATAGGCATATCAAACAAAATTCCTGTCTTTTCCCCAAAAACCTGTCCGTCCCACACTCTTTCCCCCATGGTAGTAAACCGCAAATCCATTCTTTGAATCAGGCCCAAAGCTTTGAAGTCACCTTGACTCCTCTCTTTCTCTCATATGCCACAGCAAGTCCTGTCAGTTCTAGCTTGAAAATAACTTACCACCAACACTGCTACCTCTTGGGCTTCCCTTACCCATCTAACAACTGTTCAACCCAGAAGCCATAGGAGCCCCTGCTACTTCCCATCCTCCTCTCCCCTCACTCTCTCTCTCTCCCTGACTCTGGCTTTCTCAGTGTCCCTTGAATAGTCCATAAACTCCCTCCATTATGCCTTTCGACCTGCTGGTTCCTCTGCCTGAATCAGTCTTGCCCACATGTCCCCATGGCCCACCTCCTTCGCCTCCTTCAGGTTTTTACTCAAAGATTATTAGTGAGACTGCCTCTGGCCCCCTATGTTAAATTGTATCCGCATTCCCTATCCCCTTTTCTCTGCTTTATTTTACTCCACAGCACCTACTCACCATTCGGCATGGTAGGTTTACTTGTTTGTTCAACTACTCTTCTACTAGAATATAAGCTCCATGAGGACAGGCTTTCTTTCTGTCACCATTAATATGGAGCCCTTACATCCAGAACAGTGCCTGGCACGGAGTAGATATCCCAGAAACATTTGCTGAATGGATGAATGAATGAATGAATGAATGAATGAATGAATTCAGTGAGGACCTTCATTGTAGGGTATATCTTTTAGCATAAGGGGAAAGTTGTGGGTTCCTGTTTTTCACGGATGCCGTTTCTAGCATGTACCTGACACATCAGCTGTCAATTGTAAATTACATAGTTGAATGGGTAAGTTTAAAATAGAGAAATGGAATGTTTTTGCTTAATAAATGCCACACTCACCTACTACTTTGCCTCTGACAGTACTTCTGACATTCTTGTCCTCAGAAAATCAACTCTCAGTGGCTTTTTATGCCTCACATACCACTGCCATCCTTTAATTGGTTGATACGTGTTTTCTAACTCCATTTCTGGGTTTGTCCACTGTGTAAACTAAGATTTCTTTGCCTATGCATTTTGAAGCTTTAAGGACTGTCCCCATCCATGTGCCTGCCTTCTTGCTATTTAAGCTCCAAATGCCCTCTTGGATTCTGTGTTTCCAAACTGGGATCCTAAGCTAGTCTATCCTCACACCCTTTATCTCTCTTCTCTAGGCTGCTGCCACCTCTGTGTGAGTCTGGGGCAGAGGCTAGACACCCCCGCTGAGCATCACGATTGCCCGAGGAGCTTTCCTAAAACCACAAATAGTCCCACACACCCCCTGTTCTGATTCTGTGAGGTATTGGATAGGCCCTGGGCATCTGTGTAGTTAAAAAGCAGCACTGGTGATCCTGATACGCAGCCAGGGGTGAGAACCAGCGGCTTGAGCTGGACAGGTTAGGAGTACTGCTTGTATACAAAGAAACATTTCCAGTAGTATATCTTATACAGTATCTTTTTGGCCCTTGTTTCCATGGTGATCTCTTCAGGGATGCTGACAGCAACTGCAATAGCCCTTTCTTGGTAGTCCTGTAGTCTGTGACTTTTAAAGTCCAGTTGGATGCTTTTCCCCTAGAAAGAGAATGAGAGAGAGAGTTTTACACTTGTGTTTTGGGATATTTTCTTCTGGCATTTCACTACTGATACATTCCAAACTCTAATCATCCTTTCTCTGGAGTTATTCTTCATTGTAGGCTGACATTTGATGGCAGCATTTTGATCTTGGTAAAGATAAGAATGGGAAGACAGTAAGCAGAGTATACTTGAGCCGTAGGAAATCTTGGATTCTAGATCCCAGCATTAAAAGAGAACGTGCATGCCTAACCAGTTTCTGCAGCGCGTGTGCGTCCCTGGCCTCTTAGTCTCGTGGAGCTCAGCAGACGCAGCTGCAGCTTATTTGTGGGTTGGGGTTCTGGTCCAACCCCATCTGTGGGGCAAGAGCCTACCCCAGACCTGCCTTGGGTCTGGGGAGTTGGTCTCCAATGTTTTTGGCTTGAGTTCTAAGCTCAGGTATGTCCCTGTCCTTGAAATGAAATGATTGAGAGCACATGGCAAGTGACAACTGGAGGATTCCCAGCTGCCAGTCTGGTGCAAAGGCTGAAATCTGGCTCTCTTTAATGTAAAGGAAATTTACATTCCCAGGTTCCACTGGGTTGAACGACTGACATCTAATGGGTTTCAGACTTTTTAAAGAAACTGCTGAGGTCCACGGGTCATTGACCAAAGACCAGTGCAGGAAGCCATAGAAAAACCCTGTAAAAAATTCCAAGTTGCCCTTCCTGTGTCTTTTTAAGATTTGATGCAGTCAGTGTCTTAGATGGCTAACACAGAAAGGTAAAGTAAGTCTCCACAGCACCCAGAGAAAAGATGGTAAAACTCCTCTTTGAATCTTGTCTGGAGTCACAGCTGAAACAAACAAACAAACAGATACCATATACATTTGAATCATTACTGGCCTGTGGATATGCATGATGGAAACCTGAGATACAGGGTTCTTAACTTTGGCTCCATTGGCATTTCGGGTCAGGCCATTCTTTGTGATAGAGGCTGCCCTATACCTTATAGGATATTCAGCAGCATAGTGGCAACCCTGACTACCCACAAGATGCCAGTAGCACACACCTTTCCCTGCATCCTTCCTCGGGGGTTGTGACAACCGAAAAGGTCTTCAGACATTGCAGAATGTCCCGGGGGAGGGCGTGAGGAGAAACATCAGCAGTTGAGACCCACTAGTATAAAGTGAAGGTGAGGCCTGACTGGTGTGGCTCAGTCGCTTGGGTGTTGTCCTGCAAGGTGAGAAATCGCCAGTTCAATTCCCATGGTCAGGACACATGGCCTGGGTTGCAGGTTCCATCTCTGGTCGGGCACGTACAAGAGGCCACCGATCAGTGTTTCTCTTGCACATTGATGTTTCTCTCCCTCTTTGACTCCCCCTCCCCCCTCTAAAAATAAATAAAATCTTAGGGAAAAAATAAACGGGGTGAGGCACAGTCTTTGCCCTGTATATTGGATTTGTGTTTTGACTCTGTCTTGTACTCTCTGAGTCACTTTAGGGAAATTCTTAACCCTTTTGAGCCTCAGCTTCCTCTCCAATAAAATGGAAATAACGATGATCATGTCTACCTCATGGTTGCTGGGAGCATTGGCTAAATTAATGCATATGAATTATTTAGTACCTGTCTCAGCACACAGTAGTAAACAGTAAATGATAGCTATTTTTACTACAGTGGACTCATGTTGTAGACATTTAGCTTAAGTGCTCAGCAAAGAGAGAGGTAAGAAATGAATCTGAATAGTGCTGGTGAATCTGAATGAGATGGCCATGGGTCAGCCTTTGATGGAGGCCCAGGAGAGCTGGTCCTCCTAAGTTTTCTGTCTTGACTTTCACTCCATGATCATCTCTTCATGGGTCCTCAGCCTCAGTGCTAGAGACCTTTGGGGCCATCTTGTGCGTTGTGAGATGTTGATTGGCTTCCCTGGCTTTGATCCACTATGGGCCACTAGCACCCTCCCCCAGTTATGACAACCAAAAATGTCTCCAGCCTTGGCCAGTGTCCCCTGGCAGGGTGGCACAATTGCCTTTAGTTGAGAACCACTGCTCTAGCCTGACCAGTTGCAAGGTTTTCAAGAATGGTTTGGCTTTTCTCGGTTTTTATCTTACTTGTTGACTTAAAACCTAAACTCCAAGAGGATGAGTTGCAACTGAATTTTTACTGATGAGCCAGAGCTCAGTTCAACTCCTCAGTTCACTTGATTCTCATCATCCCCTTCTCCTACACTAAACTTAGTTTTTAGGATAAGTGATAGATATCTATTTTAAAATTTTTCATGAAGTTGTGATAAACGTTAACTCTGAGACTTGTCCTCAGGTCAGGGCATGTACTTTCACCTCTCTAGTGCCCCTCATGTCTGTAGCAGATGGGGCCTGGTAGTGGTGAGGCATGTCATGCTACCCCAAGGCTGCAAAATCTTTATATACTTTGAAGAAAATGTCAGTTGTGCTCAGGATCCTGTGTACAAACTGAAAAACTTAGTTTTGCAGGTTGAAACTTTTCACCCATGTCTTCAGCTTGCCTCTCAATTAACTGGAAAATGGAATTACCCCAGCAGTCGCACTACCCTCTCACCTTCATTGGGCGTTATAGGGCTAGTCAGGGTCTGGTGTATGCGTATAGTCCAAGGGAGTTGGAGTGAGTGGAGGCGACAGAAATTTGGTGAGGTTAGAACCGAGTTTGGAGAAGGGACAGTGTTGGGGTTGGCAAAGCGGGTATTTTAGGTACCACTTGAATTCTGGTCTGTAGATGGGTTCAGGCAGAGAATAGGCTAGGTAGAGTCGGAGAAGAGGGCCATTCAGGGAATAGTGGGATGCATTGGAGGGATCGCCTGTACAGGAGAAAGGCAGACGACAGAGATGCCTGGTATAGACTGGGCCAAGCCTTTGTAGCTCTCCATGGTACTTTGAAGCAGTTAAGAGGCAAATAGGTTTGCAGTTGCATCATTATCTACTCAGGACCTAGTGGTAGTGCAGGTAACAAGTTTCTTCATTTTGTTTAAACGGGATTTGTTCTTGCCACCTGTGTGCAGTAACCTTCCTGTGGGCTCATGGAGTCCTGTTCAGTGTGACTACACATTGCTACTCAGTAGCAAACTATAAAACTATACAGCGCAGGTCCTCAGAGTAAAGCCCTGCATGTCCGCAGTGTGTTTGGTTGTTGGCACACAGTGCTATTGCAGAGCACTTGCTGTGACTCTTAACGCTGATTGCATATCCCGCTTGTTTATTGTTTGAGGAGGTTGCAGAGGAAAATAAAAACTGGTGCCTGGGCCATACCATCAGCGATTGCTGCAGGAGATCCAGGACGCATATAGTTTTTAAAAGCCCCGCAGATGTTTTATGGCATGAAGCCAGAGTTGAAAACCGCAGCAGAAGTTGCAAGTTGCTTCAGGGGCAAGCAGACATGTTTAATTTGGCCCACTTAGGTTTTTCTTTGTTTTTAATTAGGAGTCAACCCTTAAGAATTCTGAGGTTTCTGGGGAAAAAATAACCCAAGTTTCTGATTTCTCTTGAAAAAGAGGAACCAGCTTTGGCCCGCATCCCTGCACAGTGTGACTTGCCAGATCTGAGGAGCAGCTGCTGCCCTTGAGATAGACTGTGTGCCCTTCTGGACACCACCACCTTCTGGACACGAGCTGTTTGGGGCCTGGCCCACTTCCTTCTCCTCTGGTGCCTGCCCGACCTGGGCTGGCATTTGGGTTCCAGCTCTGTTGTGCCCTTCTTTGACGTAGCACTCTTCCCGCCCGGGCTACTCTTTCCTCTCGGCGGAAAGCTCTGGCTGTTGGCAGTTAATGCAGGATTCGGTGTTCTCTGATGCTCGTACTCAGAGCGCAGCTTGTGGCAGCGGTTTTCCAAGATGGGGCAGAGGCCCCGGAGTCCCCAAGACCTTTTCGAGGGGACTGCGAGTTCCCAACTATCTTCATAACAATACAAAGGCATCATTTGCCCGATGAGCTCACATTCTCTAGTGAATGGACAGTGGGGATTTTTCCGAGAAGTTATAATAGCAACAGATGGACTGCGGAAGCAGATAAGAGAATCTAGTTGTCTTCTGTGCCAGAGGTTAGAGGTTTGTCAGAGTGTAAGATGCCCCCTTTTTCACTAGTTTATTTTATTTTCAAAAAATTACTTTTTTTATTGTTGCTCAAGTACAGTTGTCTCAAAAAGTAGTTATTTTTCATAAAATTTTTATTTAGGTAAACCTTTACTGACTATTATTATGTTACATTAACTAATATTTTGACACTTTCTTAATTTTAATTTCTAATATAGCAAGTATCAGTAGCTGTAGCCCACATTTACAAAAGTTCTTTGGGGGGGGCCTCAATGATTTACAGGAGGGGAAAGGGGTTCCAGTGATAAAAAATTTGAAAACCCCTGGCATGTGGTGTGGATCCCAGTGTAAAGCGGAGAGTCACACGGGTTTCTCTGGTCTCTCCGGCCCCAGGGTAATTTTAAACTGGGACTGACCAGCAGGCTCCAGTAGATAACTTGCGGCACATCTGGAAGTGCCTGGGTTGACTGACTTTGGTTTGTGCCGCATCTCTGCCGCCGATTGGCCCACAACCTTGGGCAGATTGTTTGACCTCCGTCCCTGCGTCTGTGGAATGGGAACAGTGCTAATCGAATCTGAGGATAGTTGTATGAGAGAGACTCCCTGGCATGTGGTGGTACATGTGGGTAGAGAAAGAGTTCCTTCAGGATTATAGCCGTGTTTCTCCACCTCACCGTGATTGACATTGGGGTTAGTAGGGGCTGTCCTGGGCATCGCAGCATGTTTAGTAGTATCCCTGACTTCTACCTGCGTGATGCCAGTGGCACCCACCTGCCTCCAGTCATGACAAGGAAGATGTCTCCAAATAGCGTCAGATGTCCCCTCAGGGACAGAGTTGCCCCCATTTCAGACTCCCTGCATTTGGGGAGTCTATGGAGGCCCTCCCCCCAGAGACTCCATTGTATCATCATCTGGTTACTAAAGTCCTAGTCCTGCACATAGTTAAGTACACAGACTGAGGGGCGGGGAGAGAAGGGGAGTCACTCACAGATGCTGGGGGTCAAGATTGTTTGTGCTGTCTGACACATCAGGAACTTATTCTGGTGTATAATATGAGTTAGGGATCTAACTCAGTTTTTTTCCAAATAATTAAGGCAGGGTTTCTGAACCTTAGCATAGTTGACATTTGGGGTTGGATCATTCTTTGTGATTGGAGGAACATCCTGTGCACCATAGGATGTTGATCAATATCCCTGGTCTCTGTTTACTACATGCCATTAGCAGCTCCTCCCCATTGCGATAACCAAAAATGTCCCCAGACATTGCCCATTGTCCCCTGCACCCCTGGTGAGAACTACTGGATTATAAGATTAAATAAAACTATCCAGGAATAAATTAGTAGCCAACTAGAGCTTAGAGCTCACCTTCCTGACCTTCCTTTTCCATTGTGGCCTTTTGGCAGCTATCTAGGCATTGTGGACTTCCTGTTGCTGTTAATTGCTGCTAATATTGCTGTCAGTAAGAGGGAACAGTGTTTTCTATGACCTTTCAGGTCCAAGGTGAGGACCTGACAATGTCAGAGCTGAAAAGGACCTTCAGAGGTGTTCCAGGTCCAGGCCGTTACATTTCATGGGGACTGAAGCAGGGAGAGTTGGCCGGCACCAGCGTGCCTGCCTCCAGCCATTGAGCCGAAGAGCTCACGGTCATCCTTTCCAGTGGATCGGTGCTGTCAACTTAATGGGAACTTCTCCTGAAAACTGACTTGTGGGGCACGACATTTGCTCTCACTCTGACAAAGAAAAATAGGAAATCGCAGGAGATGTTAGTAGTTACCCCATGCACATGCTTGGAAGACAGGC